AGTGGTAATCCTTATAGGCATTCTCTCGGTAAGAATGTTTCAGGTAGAAGCACTATCTGTATCCTTTAGATCGACGGACACGAAGACCGTCGCGAATCTTTGGTATCAAGGCAGCTCTAGAAATCACCCCGTGTATTCCTAGGATTTACTGTCCTGTGAAACGGAGCCAGTAGATTATCATCATCTCCAAAGTGATGGATTGTGCATAACATATTTCAAACCAAATAGTGATCCCAGGAAAATTTCCTGTACTGACAGAGTTTGCTTTGGTCCTTTTTGCGAAATTGCTTTGCTGTACTCAAGGAATAATTCCTTTGCTGTTGATTGACAAATTACTGCACACTTCCACAGGAAGACAAATCCCGCTATTTTCTGTCGTTTCTGCTGAGCTTGTTTTCTGCCAGCCAACTTAGGATCTGCTTCCAACCGTAAGGCAACGCTCACTGTTCGGTGAACCAACGTGGCCGATTAAGAATAAATTTGGACTGGCAAATTTAACCAAGTCCCGCTAGTGAGTAGGGAGCTAACATAGCTCAAATAAATACTTTATATGTGTGAAAAATTACACGCTGTTAGTGTTCAGTGGTTTTGAAGTTCAACGTTGATGTAATCGTTGAAATCAACTTTCTGACACCATTCACCCCCCGTACATCCAAAGGAATTATCTGAGAGTACTCAGCGAATGTATCAGCACAATACTACCAAGCTTTTGTGGACGAGACTAAAGCCCCCGGTGCTCCTGGAAGCGCAAAAACGACTCCATCAGTCCTCTTTTCTACCGTGGCTTTTGCCGCGGCTGAATCGTGAGGCAATAACAACCCCCTTCCGCATGTTTCTAATTCATGACCAACTCCAATCTGGCAACTAGGTTACTCCAGGGAATGCGCTTCCAACCAATCGGTGCTTCGGGCACCACGTGGATACGGCAACTGGATTGAAACATCATCGACTCGATCGTCGCATTGGTCTACGTACTGTGATTGAGGCAGAAAATCAATATCCCAAGTGCTCCTGGGAGCCGGCATTGATATTGGTAATCCGCGAAAACTGGCTAGTGGATATATCTTTAATGGTGGATATCAAACATTTAAAAGCTCATGATTGTCCTATGGTTGATGCTACTATGCCCTTCTTTTGCTCTAATAACCTGCTAGTAAAGCACCATATTATCAGCAAAACTAAAAAAATCATCATGGATTATAAGCTGCCACAGGCATCAAAGAGGTCCAATACCTTGGACACAGAAGAACACAGTGGACTTACATGGCAAACTGGTATCGTTATTTTAGAACCCCTTTTCGAGGAATCCATCGGCTGACTATCTATCGCATGGAGGCAATGAATCGACTGAAAACTTCCGTCGGGTCGTTCGTCCGTTTATCCACGAAAATCGCGGCCACAAGCCAGGTTCTACAACCGTCTGTTGACCAGTCCGCTGGCTCTGTAGCTACAGAGGTAGCTACTTCTGTTGGCAGCTCGATGATCTATATGATGTCTCCAAGCGCGATAAAGACTGAAAATCAAGACCTAGCTCCACTGAACGCGAGCAAAAGGGTAGCCGACTCCTCAAACCTCCCACGAAAGCAACATCGACACTCATCCTCCGCATCTCAAATACAAGGCCGCTCACAACTGGCGGCCCAAGAGATGTATCGAAGGAGACCCTTTTCCCATATAACAATTAGTAGGAATTTAATTAGCGATACAATCCAATACCTACAAACGCTATCCGACCGAATCTTGATCGCTGACACCATCTCCTCCACGGAGTGGGTCACGATGCATCTCGCCACGCAATTGCTACAGAGCAGGTACGAAGATATCCTTGGGATGGAAGAGATGGAAACAAATGATGTGTCCGAGTTTAATTTCCCACCGGCACAGCCAGAAGAGAGGTGCCGGAAGTGTGCTGCCGCGGATGAGGAGCGGCTGTATGACTGAGGGGCTGTTCCTTTTCATTAGTTTGTTGGCATATTTTGAGAGAATAGCTGGTTTTTAAAAATGAGGGAGCAATTATATGTCCCTAAATGTCACCATATCAACTAATATGAACCAATAGGGCATCATTTGTAGATTATAATAGACTCTAGTATTGGTAAGACAAGAAAACCTAGAGCGTCGAGATCCAAACCAGCCGTGCCAGTATTCGTCGGACGATGGCGAGAGATCGACTCAAAGAGCTGAAAGGCGAGCTTTCAAGTCAAAGGCATGCCAAAGCATAAGAAAAACCCCCGAATCCTTGCCTTTCATCTAGCCAAGATGGTGGTTACAGCGCCGGCTAGATGCTGGTCGCTTACAAGTCGCGAGTAATGATTTGATGGCTATGTAAGTGGAGCTCCCAATGCGCATCGCAAGAATCAGTGGCAAGTTTGACATTTCATAGCCCTGCCAGTTATTGGAACAAACATCCCATCTTTTCCCTATACATTCGTTGACATGAGCATGTCATAGGCGAAACGCCCTAATAGAGGCCGTCGTTATAGAGAAGCTATTGCGGACTCTCGCTCGCTTGATGGCTTCCGTATTTTTATATTTGGTTCGCTCTCGGCCGTAGGAAACCTAAAAATACACCCTAGACAGCATTCCCTCACTAGGAAGCATTTCGTAGGTTACAATATCGTGGGGAAGTTGAGTTAGGGGCCAATATGCTGAGCAGTGTCGCCATGTGTCAATTCGTGTGAGAATCCTCAATTAGCTCGAGACTCATGTCCGTGACAGCTGAACAGCTCACTATTTGTCGTAAAAGGTCATCCGTGCCGGCAACAGTTTTCATGTAAGCTCCGTGGCTCATCAGCCTTATGACAGTCGGTCGAAGCTGCCATTCCTATCATTGACGAAAGTCCAACCTAACACCGCATGTATAAATAAATAGAATTCCACTTTCTCTCAGTTCTTGCACGTATTGAATTAGGGAACACACTCCTGTGATCACGTCACCCAAGCCATCCAAAGACAACATGATATGTGACCTTGGCACTATCAAAGCTCTATCTCAGCTCCTCATTTCAACGTCGGCCCCCACCAACTGCGAGAGTTATGTGGCGGCCACCACAAAATCAGATTACGTTGGTTTATATGAGCTGTTGGAAAACTGCTATACAGTCCGTTCTGTGAGCATCGAGTCTATCGAATCAGGATACACACGTCCGTCCTGGCATTTTGAGACAATTTGCTGCCACGAAAAAATCATTGGTGTACATTTACAAGAATATGCAGGCCGCTCATTTTCGATGGCTTTTGAGACCGGTTCAACGTGTTTAAGCACTTGTCATAGTAGAGTGAGGAAACGGATGCCCTTCAAACATGTCATAGCGGAAATCGGGTTGGTTGGTGGATCCTAAACATGTGTTGACCATCGCACCCTCGATAAACGTTGAGTAAATAGGAAGTCAAAAGTTGTTGATGGCAGTTAGTTCTCACGGTCCTTATGCGCAACTAAAGGAAGCTCTTGGTGAGTGTTTTACTCTTTATCATATTTTTAAGTTTGTCTAATGTATGTATTTAATCACCACCTTCGCAGAAAAGAGAGGATGGTGTTTAATCAATTTAATTGGCTTGTTTGTCTCCATTTGTTTTGATGTCTGTGCCATCCCCTGATACTTTGCCACCCCCCAAGTCTACCAGCGAGAATTTTCTCATCCCTCCTACGAGTTGCACTTCTTTTTTGCCTTAGTTTCCTGGCAACCAATATTCAGCCAGATAAAGGACCTGCCAAGGCTCAAGAATCCCGCAGACTCGAGAGCCCGGTTCTATAGTTGCTCGGCGCAGTTTTGTGGCGCCAAGTACTGCTGCGCTTTTCGCTTTTCATCGCATTAAAAAATCAAGTCTCTTTTGGTGCGTATTTCATGAGTTCCTGTGTTTTTTATTCTTTCCTTGCCTTACCAGTGTGCAGTTTGGAACTAGCGTCACTCTGAAGCTAAATTAACCGAATTGAGAATATATACAAAAGCATGCAATAGAAAGAAAGAGTTGACGATCAAATATACCAAGCAATAGCAAGCAAAGGTCTGCTCGTAGAGTCGCAATGTTGATTAATGTAGGATTTGGCAAATTTAGGATCTTCAACAATGATAATAGTAGAATGAACGAAATATCATAGACCCTATAACGACCCGGAATCAGGCTGACCTACCTAGCACACAATGGTTTTTCGGGGACAACGTAGGTTAATGCTTCTCCAAAGTGGAGCAAGGAGTAGCCTAGGGCCAATCATATCGTGCCACTTATAATGTCCAATTAGCGACATCTAAAAATATTTCCCTTACATGCGACTGGGCTCTATTTGACGCCATCGGTACCCAGAGTAGGGCCCCATTATGCGGCCGTTCGCGAATATAGGGTTGGTTAACGGGGAACACTGAAGTATATACTTTATACTTGACTGACCAAACCCAGGATCACTCCATATCTTTTCAGACACTTGTAAAAGACTTCGTGTTACATTATGTGTCGAACTGAGGGGTGGTATTTTGCCACTAAGGACAGGGTTTTTCATCAAGTACCCATTCCCTCTTTGTCTCTGTATGGTAAACGGGGTACGCTCGGCATACCAGCGTTGTAGCACGGTAGGAACGACTCCTGAGATCTGATAACGCTTCAACAGCAAGATCCAGATGGAACAATAATCAATGCATCTCAATGGGACACCTCAATACTAGCACATACCAGTATCCGTCAATCCGACAGTATCTTTCTCCTCTCCGCCAATACTTAAAATTGAAGGTACGGTAAATCACCTCCATGCTTAGTACGGTCACGTGTGCTTGTAGCAAAGGTCACTTTCAGTACGGACATCGGAAATTGACCCCTGCTGTTCTTTTCGGTGTGCGTTGATTTATAGCTCAATTGTTTTCCTTTTTAGATGAGAGCGCGAAGAAAAGAAGGAGATACGACTTAGGTAGCGGACCGAATGTGGTCCAGTTGGGACCTGCATCCTTGCACAGATGTGATCGACTTTTGGTATTAGCACGTATAGAGACCACTCAAATGATCATTTCAATTCATCTTCTCTGTTCCAAAAGAGCAAGGAGCTTGTCTTGCAGTTCCTTATAGTCCGCTTCTCTCTTTTTCTCCCTGTCCTTCTGTTCCACCTCTCGCCTTTCTTCTCGTAGCTTCTGCTGTTCCAATTGAAGGAGAAGCTTCTCTTCTCTCCCCTTCTGTTCCGCCTCTCGCTTCTCTTCCCGTAGCTTCTGCTGTTCCAATTGAACGAGAAGCTTCTCTTCTCTCTCCTTCTGTTCCGCCTCTCGCTTCTCTTCCCGTAGCTTCTGCTGTTCCAATTGAACGAGAAGCTTCTCTTCTCTCTCCTTCTGTTCCGCCGCCCGCTTCTCTTCTCGTTCCTTCTGGTCTGCCAGCTGCTGTTGTAGTGTTTGCACCATCATACGTAGCTCTGGTTGTAGACCACGATTCTGCGAAGACGCTGCTCGGCGATAGCCCGGGCGTTCCTGCAATCCAACCATGGACACCTGAGAGTCAAGCTCATCAACATCCATACCAGAGACATCTTCGTCGGGGTTCGGAACTTCCTCCAGTATCCGCATCAATCTATCGGTATGAATAGGCAGGAATTCACAGTCCAAGTTCTCCACAAACTGATAACATGTCCATCGATTTGCTTTGACCCAGACGTTGGGTTGCGCAACAGGCCAGCGATAGAATGATACCTTGCCATCATTAATTTCCGGGTAGTAACCGTATATTCGAAAGCCTTCGAGCTAATGCGATATTGAAAAGCCCAGAATCCGCCGATGCACCTCTTCCGTGCAGCCTGCGGCTTGACACAAAGAGACCACAGCTCGCAGAGCAATGCACATACTATGCATGTTCTGCCGATCGGCAAGTTCCAGCGCCTGGTTCCCACATTTGATTTCTGCGGTCAAATATGGGAAGTACATGTCCTCTCGCACTGTGTAGGGCGATTTCTCGTCAGGCTTGATCCCGAGTTTGCGCCGCTGGCTCTCGGAAAAAGCCGACCATCTCAAGCCTCGTGCGTGATCAGGCTGAGGTTTCGGACCATAGATTGGCTCGGTCTTCAGCCAGGGATCATTGTACCCATCAATCACATCCTTCAAAGATTGGTTCCCTCGAATGTATTGATTCTCCGCGGATGGCATAATGAGAGGGTGCAGGTCCACCAACAGACGCGCTTCGGATCGATTCTGCAACGCATTATGAAAATCTGTGTTATACTCGTCTTCGAGCAGTGTGCCGGTGGGTGGTTCGATGGGCTGACTGAGGAGACGCTCACAGAGCGCAATATCCTCGGATATCGGGCCGGCAGAGGACTGTCGCATGAAGCATCCTTTGGTCTCCAGGATGGTGACATAATTGACAGCTCTATATGCATATGACCTGGTGTCCCGAGCCGAACTGCTCTCGCTGTTGTCCGATGAGACCGACCGAGCACGCCCTCGATCCGTTGAGATCGAACGCGATCGGGATCGTTTTGACGCGGGTTGGCTCATCACCTCAAGCGCGTCAGTCTCCGATGGCACAGGGATCCAGTGGTATATGTCGTCCAGAAGCTCGTCGGTGGTATTCGTGAGGGACGTTGGAATGGTAGTTCGATGTTCGAGAGGATCAGGTTGCTGGGCAGTCAGTGTGATGAATATCGCAAGTTGAGGGTCATAACAAACTTTACAATCACAGTCAGGGGAGAAGGGTGAAAGCGGTTGCTGCGCTTTGCTGTGCTCGTGCTCTTTCTTCCAAAGCTCTGGATTCGTGCTTGGGCTTTCTCGCCGGCGCGCTTTTGCTAGTCGCACGCCACCATCACTGTTGTAGCCATGTAACTCAGAAGGTGCTTCACGTTTCATGATGTCGACCTGGCCAATACAAGAAGATCATTGTCGCTGTCAAAAAGCACCCATCAACTAGGATTTTCGGTTGTTGCGTTTCATGAAGGAGCCCGACATCGAGCGATAACGAATGTTCGGTTTGGCGCGCGGCATGGCCTCTTGGCGTGGGCCTGTGCGCGATGATATTTTATCCACTGGCCCTTCATTACGGACCCGCTCGTGCCATTCCACACATCAACTCCACGACAAAACAATTATGTAGCCCAGATCACGTTGGCGTAGTTGACGCCAAGAATATGGTCTATGGAAGGGTTCTGATTAACTAGAGAGTACATCTATCTTTTGGCTCGGTCTATCCATGTTCTGGGTCGAACATCAATATCTAAGTCAACAAAACTATCGACTACTACCGGAGCGAATAAGTTTCGACTCTTGAATTTGAAATCAATGTATTTACAGAATGAGGAAGAAGACAGGACATACAGACGTCACTTAGCCAACAGAAGTGTGCAGAGGAGAATGGCTAATCTTCTAGGAAATTGTTGTTGTTCAGAGGTATGAATTAAGTTGTTATCTCGGAGGGATGCATGAGCCTATATATACAAGAATTACCCAAGTTGATTTTCAATCAACTTGGTCGTCTGTATAGATACTTCGGATCTAATTCCGACGGCGCGGCTTGGTTCCTGATCTGCACCAGCCTCATATCACAACATTCCCCCTCAGGATCGCTTTGCTGGCAAGGCGATACTGGATACGCTGTGCAGGCAAGCCTCGGTAAAACCACTCAAAAACCTTTGTGGGAAAATAAAGTGGAAAGAGCGCCTGCGCTGTCACGTTTGTTGCCTCTGAGTCTCCGAGGCTCCGATCCCTAGAAGACTACAGAACTTGGCGAATGCCGTAGGTCCCAACGGCTTGGTGAGACCGTCTGCGGCCTGTTCCGCAGTAGGAACATATTGAAGACCAATCTCGCCAGCATTCAGCACGGCTCGCTGATAGTGGAACTTCACGTTGAAATGTTTGGTCCGTTTGTGGAACTCGGGATTGCGCGAGAGGGCAATCGCGGACTGGTTGTCGGCCATGATGTTGGTGACCGGAGACCGATACAACTGTGTCTCGGCCAGGAAGGTGCGGAGCCATTGCAAATGCAGAATGGCATTGTATTGTCCAATGTACTCGGCATGAGTTGTCGACGTGGCCATTTCCCCCTGTCTCTTGGACGACCAGGAAACTGGTGCGCCTGCAAGTTGGAACACATAGCCAGATGTGGAGTATGCCCCATCAGTGACGACAGAGCCGCCAAAGTCGGCATCCGTGTATCCAATTAATTGTCCGCTGCGGTAGGTGATGCAATGGTATTGTGTGGCTTTGACATAGCGAAGCAATCGCTGCAGGGCGACCCGGTGGTGCGATTGCGGCTGAGACGTGAAGCGACTCAACGTGCCCAGCGCAAACGCAATGTCCGGTCGCGTTCCAACCATCAGATACATCAACGAACCGATGGCGGTTGCATATCGTGCTTTGCCTTCCTCGTCTGGAGGTGCTTCATCCGGATGATGATTCAAAACTTGCTTGGGATTCATCGGGGTGGTCTTCGCCTGACAGGTTTCCATGCCAAAGTCAGACATAATCTTTTGGATGTACTGGTGTTGGTGAATCGAAACGGCTCCGTTGGCATGGTAGTCGAATTGGATTCCGAGAAATGAACGCGGAGTTCCAAGGTCGTTCAATTGAAACTCCTTCTCCAATGCTTGTTGCACTTGTTTGATTTCGTGCGAATTGGCTGCCGTAATGAGAAAGTCATCGACATAGACACAGACCACGCAATCGGATTTGTAGAACACGCAGTTGTCCGATTCTGCCATAGTGAAGCCATGGGCGGCCAGCACGCGGTGGACGCATTGGTACCAAATCCGCGGGGCCTGTTTAAGTCCATACAAGGAACGACGAAGCCGGCATACGTAGCCTGGCTCTTCAAATCCTTCGGGCAACTCCATGTAGATGGAAGAGTCCACGTCACCGTGTAAGAACGCCGTGACGGCGTCGAATTGGTGAAGCTTCCATCCGCGTAATGCGGCGCTGGCGATGATGCAGCGGACTGAGTCCATTCGTGACACAGCAGCAAACGTTTCGTGGTAGTCGATGCCATATTTCTGCCGATATCCTTTGATCACCAATCGCGCTTTGCGCGTTCCGTTGACTTTGGTCTTGAAGACCCATTTGCAGCCAATCACATGATCTCCGGCGGGAACGTCCTTTCGTGGAACCTTTTCCCATGTTCCGTGTTCGAGAAGCGACGCATATTCTTTCTGGATGGCAGCCCACCATTCCAGTTGATTCGGGCACGACACGGCTTCGTGGAAAGTTGAGGGATCGACTGTGCGCGCAGATGTGGTATTCAGTGCGCCTGCGGTGTACACCTTGCCAAGTGATTCCAGCAAGCGCCGTGAGGGTCTTCTTCTGCGGCCATAGATGGAATAGCCGAGGTCCTGTGTGGTCTCTGCTTCCTGTTCAATTGGATTGACCGGCGAAGGTATTTCCTCCCCATGCTGAGACGGCGTTTTCTCTTGTTCGGATGATAAGGGCAAAGGCGATACCGGTGGGGTCGGCAGCCCATTAGCCAAGGAAGGTACTGATGGAAAGACCGATGACGGAGGAGCGTTGTCCGGGAGGTCGTTGCCTGATTCCCCCTCGATGAGTGGCGCCACAGGGGTCCTCTCATCGAACTCGACATCACGGGAAAAGACGGTCTTTCCGGAATGGATCTCATACAGTTTGTACTGGTTCGGCTCACAGTAACCTAGCAATCGGCACTCGGACGACCTGGGTCCGAGCTTTGCTCGATGCTCTCTGGGAATCAACACCCATGCGCGGGAGCCAATCCGTCGCAGATGCAACAGCGAGGGTGGCTTCTCGTATAATATTTCGAACGGTGTCTTCTTCTGTAAAATTGATGCTGGCGCGCGTAACTTCAGATAGACCACCGTTTCTAACAGCTCAGTCCACCAGGAAGGAGGAAGGTTCGCATCAGACAGGAGCGTGTTGATCCGCTCCCGGATAGTGCGATTCGTGCGTTCGGCCAGACCATTCTGCCCTTTGCAGTATGGCGGCGAGGTGTCAAACTCAACTCCCTGGGTCTCGAGGTGTGTTCCGATCGGCAGGTATTCTCTCCCATTGTCGGTGAGGAACCTCTTGATCTGGGCGCCGAACTGTCGGTGCATCCAGGCCTCAAATAGTCGGAACTTCTGGAGCGCTTCATGCTTCCATCTCATGGCATATGCCCACGAGCCACGAGAATAATCGTCAGTAAAGGTGATCACGTACCTGGAGCCATCTTTGGCGATCGGCATCTCCATGATGTCCGAATGGATCATTTCAAAGATTCTCGTTGAATGCAGACGTGGCCGTCTTGCACGGGAGTTCCTCTTCTGATGCTGCTTACCCGACATACACGCCGGGCACTGCGGCGTTGCCAGCAGCTGCGCCTGCGTCAGCGGTCGGTACGGAGTGCCGGTCTGCCGGAGGACCACCCTCAAGTCTCCCCGGTTCAGATGTCCCATCCGAGCGTGCCACATCGCTTCGGAGGCCTGGTCCACTCCCTTGCACGCATCTTCTTCGAGTATCACAGCTTCACCACCGAGTTCAGAGGTTGACGTTGCGCATTCTGCGTCACTTGACTCCTGAGGGTCGTCGACGTCCATGGCCACCGCCTGCGGTTCCAGGGAATCTGCATGGCCATAGGTCGTCGGCGCCCTCGCCAGTTGGACTCGCTCTCGAGATCTTCTGCTCACATGGCACCGCAGGATCAGTAGATCCTCTTCCGCATGGTAGGCTGTCCCCACAGTCCGTCCTCGGCGTTGCACAAAGACGTTCTGCGGGTGTGCCACCACCGAGTAGCGGTCTCGCAATAACTTCGGCACGCTGATCAGATTCATCCCGACGCGTGGCGCGAAGTATACATTCTTTAACACCAGGGGTTGGTTGAACTTCCCCCGGAGCGTGAGCTTCACCGTACCAATCCCTTCGGCTTCCACTGGATCACCCGCCGTGTCCAGCATCTCGCGGTGGGGCCGCAGACTGCTGAAGCAGCTCCGGTCCCAGCAGATATGGCTGGTGGCGGCCGAGTCCAGGATCCACCGGGGTTGCGGTGCGTGGGTATAGAGGGTCGTCACCCTCGCCCTCACGATATTGATCCTCGGTCTCTTGGAAGTCGGCGGGCCCTGCCGATCTTCTCTCTGGCTTGACGGTATATTTTGCATGTTGTTTCTTGGTGAGCCGGAAGCACTCCGTTCAGCCTTCAGGGCATGGTCCCTAGGCGGGTGAATTTCGCGCTGTTTCTTCCAGCACTCCGCGACCACATGGCCGCGTTTCTTGCAGTAGGCACATTTCTTGGGGATTCGCTGCACTGCATTGACGGACGGTCCTGGGACTCCCTGCGGGGGCACGGGAGACTCCTTTCGTCGGACCGTCTGCTCGGCATTAGACAGCCGATTTCCAATCGTAATCGGGTTGACCGGATCCTTGTCATTCTGGATCGCATCCACAACTAGGATGTATTCCGGTCCGATCTGCGTCAGCAAGATCGCGATGTGTGTCCGATCACCAATCGATCCGGGCGCGATGGCATTCAATCGATGTACGAGCAACCGTACACGATCAACGAATTCGCGCGCACTGCCGCATCGTTCGCCGGTGGTCTCGCGAAGTTGAGCAAACAGTTCGCAGAAGGTGGCGAGTTCCATTCGCCGGTACCGTTCTTCAAGTTCATTCCAGAGGTCGCGAGACGTCTCTAGTCCCGCGACATGAATGCTGATGTGGGGGGACAGGTACCGGAAGATGGTGTGATAGGCCTCGGCTTCGCGGCGCGACCATTCGCGATGGCGCTCAAATGCCTGGACCTCCACTTCGAGGCGCGCTTCAATGGCTCGCTGCCTCACCGCCCCATTGAGGTGGGGCTCCACCAAGGGGTGGATGTCCGCCGTAATAGGTTTGGCGTACTTGAATAGACAGTCGGGACG